TGTTCACAAGAGACCTCCACTGGTCCCTATCCTAAGCCAGATCAATCCAGTTCAAACCACCTCATTCTATCTCTCTAATATACTAATATTATCCGTTCACCTACGTCTTGGTCTTCCTAGTGGTCTCTCTCCTTCCGACTTTCCCACCAAAATCATATATGTATTCCACTTCTCATGCGTACTACAAGCCAAGCCCATCTCAGTCTCTATGACCTAATCATTCCGATAACACCTGGCGAAGAATACAAGTTATGAAGCTCCTCATTATGCAGTTTTTCTAAACTCTTCTCACTTCATCTCTCTTCGGTCCAAATATTCTCCTCAGCACCCTGTTCTCAAACGCCCTCAGTCTACGCAGTTCAAAACATCCGTTAGCTATAAGTGGCAGTCAAATGAAAACGGGTCACCACGCATAACTCACAGCGAGCAAGTTGGTAACACTGGAATTTGCTTACGGTACGAACATCTGGTGGGGACTCGGGAAAGCACAGTGACAACGTTCCCTTGCCCACTAGTCGTTTGTTTATTGTGCTGGAAGTAAGGTTAACGCTACGTGTGGTCGTCCAACATCAGTAATGGCGGCGGGTAAAGAAGAACAGCGAAGTGTAGTGCGCCTTTTGACTGCTGAAGGAGTAGGAGGACGAGAAATTCATCGTCGCATGTCTGTTGTTTACGGCGAACACAGCATGTCACGTTCGCGTGTGCTGGCGTGGCATAAGAGATTCCGAGAGGGACGTGTGTCACTACAAGATGATGCTCGCCCAGGACAGGCTCATCGTGTCATCAGTCCTGACGTTATTGCTGCGTTGCACGGTCATATCCGGGCAAACCGATGGATCAATGTGGAAGAAATTAGTCTTTTGATAGGAATAAGTCACGGTTCCGTGCACGCCACTGTGACAAAACATCTGCTGTACCGCAAAATCTGCGTGCAATTGGTTCCACATCAACTCACGAAGGAACAGAAGACTTAGAGAATGGCCACATCGTTTGGTCACTTGCAACGATACCATGAGGAAGACTATGTTTTTCTGTCCCGTATTGCCACTGGGGACGAAACTTGGTGCCACCATTTTGAACCCGAGAGCAAACGGCAGAGCCAACAGTGGAAACACGTGAATTCTCCCCCGTCCAAGAAATCCAAAGCCGTACACACAAGTTCCGGTAAAGTGATGATGAGGGCCCTCTGCTTGTCGAATTTCTCAAGCATGGAGCCACAATCAGTATACAGCGCTATGAAGACACTTTGCAGAAACTGAGACGTGCCATGAAGTCAAAACGCCCTGGAATGCTATCGAATGACATTATCCTTCTTCATGATAATGCGCGCCCCCCACTGCCAACTCTGTGAGGAATACGCTACAGAGATTTGGTTGGGAAGTGCTTCAGCATCCCACCTACAGCCCAGATCTCTCCCCATGTGATTTTCACATTTTTGGAGACCTGACGAGAGACATTCGTGGACATCGGTTTGCATCGGACGAAGACGTGTGTGGCTGGGTAAAGTTGTGGTTCTGTAGACAGCCCACAAGCTTTTTCAAGGAGGGGATTGACCGTCTTATCTCCCAGTGGGATAAATGTATTAACAGTTTTGGAGATTACTTTTGAGGTAAGAAATGTCCTTTAATATGTTTTGGCTTCTGACCCGTTTTCATTTGACTGCCCTTCATATATATATATGTCATGATTTTGCCCTGCATTCTGGTGACGAGACAGAAACATACACTTAGTTTTCTCTGTGGGGTCCAAGACTGACCATAAAAGTGTACCGGAAACATGCTTATATTGGTCGTTATCTGCACTTCAAGTCCAACCACCTATATCACGCAGAAATGGGAGTCCTTCATATTCTGGTCAACCGAGCGAAGGTCAGTATCAAAACCAAGGATTTTAACAAGGAAATTAGAAACATAAGACATGATCTGTGCTCAGTGAATATTCAGAAGAGTTCGTTGCTTTTATAATGAAGCCATCGGTAATAAATCGTCCCTCTTCAAACATAGTTAACCAGGGCACTGTCGTCATCCCATATGTTAAGGGCATTTCTGAGAAATTCAGACGCACCGGGAACCGTTTCTATTCCAGAACCATCAAGACTAAGCACACCCTCAATGGGACACTGATGGAAAGTAGACCTGTTAGGAACATGTCGCTCCCATCTTCAGGGCTGAAGAATAAGCTGGGAAGCATACCAACGTGAAATCAAGTGACAAGCAGCAGACCCTCAAATCCTACATATTTCAGAAGTATAATCCCCTACTCTACTTTTCTCACAGGCCACTATGTCCACACATTTGTGACACAAATTATAAAAACTTAATTTCTGTTCATACTTTAATTATTCTATAGATTATCGCTATGGTTCAATAACTCTATCGTCGAGGTGCAAATAATTCCTTACTAAGACCGACTGTATGGCTCCTTGGATGGAGAATCATACATTAGTAGAGCCTATAAATTTCATTTCCGCGCTGCAGTCCGATTGGAGCCTCAGTCTCAGTCTGAAGATTTACTAAATCCTTATTAAGAAAAGAGGCTGGATTCCTTGGATGGAAGATCGGACCAATGCAGATCCCCTAGTTTCACTATAAAATACAAAAACAGGAGAACAAAAGTAATGTTACTAGCGGAACATTAAACTTCAATCGAACTGTAAGCAATTGTGAGGCGCCGAGTTTGAATATCGACACTACATTCAGGTATTCTGATTACTGTTTGCGGCTTTCGTCAGTTTCTACAGTGATGTGCTCCGAGAGCAGTTAAAATTGATTGGTGGTTACGGGTTCAAACCTCGACCTTGTGACAGGTTGTCCTTGCTAAGATATTTTGTACTTTCCTTTAGTAGCTCCTTATAGGTAGTCCTTAGCTACTGCTTCAGTATCCTATCAGATTCATCACACGCAATAACATTAATATTCTGCGCTCCACACGCTATGCTGCTGGATAAGGCTTCAGCAAATACACCGAAACGAATTCATCAGACAAACATATGATCACGTTCTTCCAGCTGTCGAAGTACCCTCGGACACACGAATCGGATTTTATGCATTAAAAAAGTTGTCCCTGTGCTTATCAAATTAAATATTACACAATGAAGGCGTATCGGAGAGTGGATGTATAGATCTTGATCTCGGCACTAGCTGGAGGTGAGTGGTCAGCTTCACGCCCCAGCCGCTTTACCTCCAAAGAAAGAGCCATTGAATAGGGGCTTGTTTGGGTCCCAAAGTCGGTCTGGAAAACGTGGAAAAGAAAAAGAATTTGACCCCAAAGGGACTCGAACTCCGACCACTCGGTTTTCCAGCCCATAACCAATCGCTACGGCGACTGAGCTATCCCGGCTTTTTCGGATTTTATACATTATTTCTGTTAAGTAATTTGGTCATTGATTTAACAAGATAGATGTCATTGGTCAATGTTCTTGTCTCGTCCCCTATATTAAGCAGGTGAGGGTGGGGGTTGAAATGTAAGGGTCCATCTAAGAACGATAGAAATATACGCTGCTGTTCTTAGTCTCTGAAAGAAAGAAACTTTCAATGAATCTCTGTGACCAAAAAGGCTAACTAAAAGCTCACCGCAGGAGTCCACGTTATTAACTAAAAGTCCGTGTACAGCCTGACCAACAATCTTCGTAATTAGAGAAGAAGCTGGTTCTATGGCTTCAGGAGGGTTAATATAGTAATTGACTTATCAGCAAATGGCGGACATTTCTATAAGCAAGCCAGTATAAAAGGGAATTTTTGTGTAATGTGAGTAGCTTTCCTAGCAGGCCTTGTAGCAAAGTAAGATACAGAGGAAAACTTGACTGGAAGTTCTTAAGTAACAACGGGAGAGTTTGATGAGACGGAAGTCAGAGCCGTACGCCGTCGTTAATTACCTAAATGTTCGTCTGTAAATACATCCCAACTTCAGAGGCATCGTAACCAGCACTTACCACAAAATATTATTAGGCCGATAAAATACAGTAAGATGGGACTGGGACGGCATGTAGCACGCATGAGCTATACAAGAACACATAAAAGGTAAATTTATTCATATACTTAACTAATTAAGAACTACGCCATGAAGATGTATGGGGGAGTGAATATATAGATCCACGTATTCTTGACCTTGGCACAGGTTGTAGGTAGGTGGTCAGCTTCACGTCCAAGCAACTTTACTCCTAGAGTTAAAGGCCACGTACCAATTGGATAAGAGACTGGATGGACTCCAAAACCGGTCTGAGTTAAATTGAGAGGAGAAAATTCCTGCCTCTATCGGGACTCAAACTCCTACCCCTCGGACATCCAGTCCGTAGCCAGTCGCTATACCGAATGCACTACCCCGGTTCCATACACAAATTTTTAATCGGAAAAATAAAAGGGGAGATGAAGTTTTGAAGATTTGGAAGTAAATTTTGAGGATAATATTAAACTGTTGGCATATACTGAAGAAATAGAATATGTTAGTGTGGGCTGATTCACCTGCCTCAGACTGTCAATCATTGAATCTTATTTTAATCTAGTACAATTTATGTAAGATTTGAGACAGTCTGCTTTTACCGGTTCTCACGGTCTCTTCGCTTGCAGATTTCTTATATTTTTTCTTCTACCCTGAAGACGGAGGCGATACGTTCCTCCGAAACGTCGATTAACACCACATATACACGGTGCCAAATCCCAGAAGACTGCTTTCTTCATAGTACAATTTAGTTCACATCTTCACAATCGAGTTCTCTAAAACACATTCTAATACTCTTCTGCCATCTGTATCCAGTATCCAAGAATTTTACTTCTGAAAGAGTTTCCGGAACTTTGCCCATGCGGGTCGCGGCCCAGGATTTGCCCGTCCAATTTTCCTGAACGCTTAAGTAAGTACAAAACGTTGGCACATCGCGGTGGGAATTGAGCCCGAGTTTCAATTGACAGATCACAATTGGTTAATCTTCGACTACGACAATGGTTACGTCATAAGCGAGGCCTTTAAGTCTGTGAAAGACCAGTGTTACCCAGAGCGTCTGCAAACTCAGTTCCATATCAGTCCGTAATTTAGTTTGACGCTCCTTAGCACATTCTAGCCTGCACTGGTCTGAGTGGTGACCATGGATTTACAAGTTAATACGTGGACTTGAAAGCAGATTTCTGTTAAAGACTGTCGGTTTAGTTACTAGACGATCTGTCGCGTCTTACAGCGGATAAAATAACAAGGTGAGTGTCTAACTAGGTACTTGCAGATATGACACTATCAGTTAATTTAAGGCAATGAAATTTGCTGTCTACCGTAAAATAAACTCCACGATAATGCATTAATACATCATTACTATATTTTTAGGGGGTGCTCGATAGCGTAGTTGGTTGAGGCACTGTGCTACAAGACGGAAGGTGGCTGGTTTGATTCCCGATGAGGTCATTGATTTTTCTTTTTCGATTTACCTAATACTTCCAGCCGCAATATGGCCCTGGGGTCGACTCAGCTTCTAACAGAAATGAATCTTCCTGGTCGGTAAAGGACGGCAGGCGCGTAAGGCTGATAACCTTACCGCCATCTCTGAGCCGATTGTCTATAAAATGTGGGAGCCTCGACGTCTCACAATCCTATGGGCCTTCACGGCCTGGTACAAGGATAGCTTTATCTTTACATATTCACTATGTCTTCGCGATTTTTCGTACATATTTTCGCGAAAACTAGATTTTCCTCAAGTGCCACGGTCTTCAACAAGAGAAATATTTCCTTACAAATTTATGTTAAAAGTAATTTTAAAAATATACCTTTATGCAAAGTTAAGCTAATTAATAAACCGAGATTCTAAAAAAATTTCTTTGTATTATTTCTTCACTATGATACAAGACACACATCACATTGTTCTGCGTGTAGCTTCTGTACATTTCAAATTAAGTTAATCAGTAAATTAAAACATAACAACTGTCTTCATATTGCCATTTCATTATGAATATATCTCAATTATCGTCCCCCAGTAAGTACGTCGATGATGAATTATTACGTAAAGAAAATAGTTTCCCTTTGCACCATAGCGTACCCTGAAGATGTCGTATTTTAGACCGAAACTTATAGGGCAAATGACGAAAATTTTGTAATGGTGAGCTAACAGATTGTTTATGTTTGAAGTATCTAAACCAAGTGCATCCTGGAATACGTCTACTGCGCTGAAAAATTCATATTTACGATAATTATGTCATTTACTTAATTCCTCACGCGCCTACTTTCCATAACTAAATATTAAACGTAGGGACTGAACAAATAATTAATTGATTGCTGAACTACATAACGACGCCCTTTCAACTGTATGCATGTAATTTATGTGACGCCGAGTGACCGCATGTTTGTGTGAACAGTGGATTGAGGAGGGAAGTAATGTAAACCGTAAGTTACGATGACGGTGTCTGCGTCGAAAATTCGAACCCAGGACCCTCTGAATAACAACCATTAGTAATCACAAAACCACAAAGTTCTTTGTACGTGTACTAGTCTCAGTTCATCGATCTGAATCGCCTTTTCATTGGACGTAGGCCTACTTGGGAAAATGTAGTCCAACAAACAAAAGACACTAAAAGAAAGCAGTNTTTTTTTTTACTGAATAGTATAACATGTTCTTACTTTAAAACTGTAAAGAGAATTTCTTTTTTGAAATGCGCAATTTATGATATTTAAGGAAGATGCTCATGTTAACATTGCGGATATTGTGATGGGCTGAAAACACATCGTGGCACATACATCCGTTGCTAAGCATTGACTCTATAAACAGCGGCAGTTACTAGGTAACGCACAAAACATATGCACCCAACAACAGAAGAACGGCCATTTATATTAAACGGCGCGGTAAACATTATTCTACAACAGACTGACTGTTGGAAATGTTGTTTTCTATTCGGTCGGTGTAAAGGAGTTATCTTGCAGACAACTGAAGCAACCCACTTAATCCCGTGTGGAGGCGGGGTCGAATAAGTCCGTCGTAGCCTTGTGAGTCGTAGGAGACGACGAGAAAGGAAGTCTCGAATCAGAGACAGTAAAATATGGTCGCGAGTTCCATGGGACTCGGACCCGAGAATGACTGCGCTGGCGAGGACCAGTAGAAGTTGTAAACGACAGACCCATCCTCTCGTGAGAGAAAGCGTCCCAAGTCAACAAACCCGCAACCCTCTGACAGTAATAAAAATCTGGTCGTAAGCCCCAGATGGATCCTTTATTCCAAGACAGACTGGCCGACTGACCGTCGGTCGTAACATAAGACTGAAAAGAATCAGTGAGTTCCGGAGTTCCAAATGAGCAGTTAGTTTAGAATGGAGAGAGTCTCTGAAGACGGCAGTCGAATGGCTGAGAAGAGATGGCAAGAAAGGAATTAGGATGTGAGAAGAAGACTTCATATCTGTTGCAGTGACAGTGAGACTGTTACAAATCCGTTGCCAGGATACGACTAGTGATGATTGAGAACCCTAGTGTGCATGTAACGGTAAACTGTAAAGTATATAGAACAGAGATATCGTTGTAATTGCCTGTAGGTCCGAGTGGTGTGTGCATAAGCTGTCAATAAATCCAAAACCAGTCAGTAAGTCACGCACAATCCCTGTAACTGACAATATGGTTAACGAGTAACAGAATGAAAAGGATGTGGAGTATTGAGACAGTGGCCTAATTTGGTGGCAAAATCCTATTACTTTCCTGGACGAACTGAGAATAACCACGAAAGACCTAAATAAGAATAGCCAGTCTGCAGGTTAAGATTTGAAGTGAGGATCTGCCGTATACAAAGCCCGAGTGTCTACCACTCAATTGCAACTTTCAGTCAGTCTGTTTCTTATTCATTCTGCAATGTTTCGTAAAGTTGCAGGGCATGAAGCTCTCCTTAAAGTGGTGGTTATGTTCTGGGATATAACGCCGTATGGTCCGTTGGAAGTCAATCGAAGTTTCGGAGGAACATATCGCCTCAATTTTCGGGGTAGAATAAGACGATAAAAATACCAGCACTCGACTTGCCATCTGCTTACACGCTGCTATCTTTTTTCGACCCTGAAGATGGAAGCGATATGTGCCTCCGAAACGTTAGCTGACTTTCGACTGACTACACGGCATTATATCCCAGAAGATAGTATTATTTCTTAAAGTTACTTGTACCAGCGTTCTGAATGACCGCATGCGTTCATTTCTTTTTTCATTCTTTCTCATGAAATGTGTTTGACGTCCAGACACATAAAAAGATAGGAAATGTACGTGTAACATAATACTGAGGCGCGTTCAGATATTTCATCTTAATATTTTGTTAACATTTAGTTTATACTACCCGGGATAGCGGAATCGGTATAACGACTGGCTACGGGCTGGACGACCGAGAGGTTGGAATTCGAGTCCCGGTGGGGGGGAAAGAATTTTCTCCTCTCCACTTCGTCCAGACCGGTTCTGTGGCCCACCCAGCCTCCTCTCCAATGTGTACCGGAGGCTCTTTCCCTTGGGGTAAAGCGGCAGAGGCGTGAAACTGACCATTCATCTCCAGCTAGGAACGAGGTCAAGAAAATGTGGATCTATATATCCATTCCCCCATACGCCTTCATGGAGTATTGCTTAATTAGTTAAGCACAGGGACAGATTTACCTTTACCTTAGTTTATGCTGCGACAATTTATTTTCTGAGTCTTATGCGTGTATAGATTGCTATATTACTGTACTTACATTTGCTTCTGGATTGAAATGCTGGTAAAACTAATGCGATCGAATATATGAAGCAGTATAAAAAGTCTTAAACCAAAGATATTTCACCTCAAATTACAGAATTAAAACAAATGAATTGCAGAATTAAATGGAAAGCAAAGATGTATCACTTGACAGAAGACATCAACAGTCGTTAGAATACAGTGTGGTGTTGTTGCGCCATATTTCGTTTAGATTGCGAACCGCTGTGAAGTTCATGAATGAGATGGCCACAGCTTTGCTGCCATGGCAACCCCAGTGTTTTCACTTGCATAGGAGATGGCAACATACTCTCACAAAAACACATTAGTTCTTCGTATATAGTATGCGTTATTACTGCTTGGCTTCGACGAAAATTGAACTACGTCGATAAATTTTTGTAAAACTCCAGTAGCAAAAATTCATCCAGGTGGATCCCAGTTGTTTCAGGCGGACAGGCGGACAGATAGACAGACAGCACGAAGCTATAATTGGTGTTTCTCGCAATTTTGGCGAACAGCGAACAGCGTACATCCGTAGCATAAGAGCTATCTGTTTTACAATAACTTCCACAGATGTCACTACAAGATTCCGAACTGCTAGCACCATGCTGCGGGAAATTACATAACTACAAGATCAGAATTCCGATTGACATCAAATTGTGTACCCGTAATAAAATATCCCAATTTTTACAATTGAAATTATAGATGTCACGACAATATTCTTTACTCATAGCTCTCTACTGTGATAAAATATAATTAGACAACAGCATCCTCGCAGTTTTCCCAGATATTCAAAACGTATGTGGCCTCCTGTTTGAACTTTGAACATCACACGCATTGTGAACAGTTTGGATAAGAGTAATGCAAGGTTTGTTTGTACACGCCCTTGTTACAACATTGACTGGAACTGTCACGTCTTTTGTGTATTATAATGTTTGATAATATCGGAAAATTTTTGAAGTGTAATTATTGACAAATTTTATAAAATATTACGAATTTCATTAGAGAGAGTGATG